TTGAAGCCATTCTGAATCGAATGAGACCGTGTGTGTGTGTATGTATGTGTGTATGTGTGAACAGATTTTTTGCCGTAAATCGACGTTTTCTCAAAAACGGCTGGACCGATTTCAAACATTTAAAAGCCATTCGATGTATCTCGATGAGGACTAGCGTTGCTTTTGTGCGGCGATCGGCCGATCCGTTTCGTTGTAAATAGCAGAGAAGTGAAAAATTTTTCGTCCACGTTTTAGCCCGCAATTCTGAATCGATTTTGAACATTCAAAACCGTTTGAAAGATATTGGTTGAGAATCGTGCTGATTAGTTTTTCGTTCGGCCGGGCCGTTTTGTTGTAATAAAGTGTTAAAAAAAAATTTCGACGATTTTTATTATTATTTTTTTGACGGCAGATACCATAGTCTTATAGATCATACAAAAATATTACGGCCCTACGACAACTCGTTTAACTTTAAAACTTTGTCAAAATTTGCAAAAATTGGTACCGTTTTTTTGGCATTTGTCAAAATTAGACCTTTCATCGACGTTTGCTCAAAAACGCCTGAACCGATTTCAGAAATTTCATTTGAAAGCCATTTGATGTATCTCGCTGAGGATTACCGTTTCTCAGTTTTGTGCGACGACCGGCCGAGCCGTTTCTTTGTGATTTGGAATAAAGTTCATACTACCGAATCGATTTTGAAACATCAAAAACTGTTCGAAAGATATTAGTTGGAAATGATACTCATTAGGTGAAAATCTACCGATCCGTTTTCTTGTAATTAACTGTTGAAAAAAAAAAACTTAAGCCGATTTGTATGGAACATTTGTTGGCGATATATATCATGGTCTTATAGAACTTACTGAAATATTATGGCTTTACGACAAGTAGTTTAATTTAAAAATTCATCAAAGTTTGAGAACATGATCAGTTTTTTTGACGTTTGTTTAAATTAAAATTAGACGATTTTCTTGGTAAACGATAGAGTACTTGGTCTTAATGAACATACTAAACCAACTCCTACGGAAACTGGTTCAATTATAAAAATAATTGATTTGTGAAAATTTGCCTTTACAAAATACTCCGAGATAACGTGTTCGTTCGTTTTCAATTATGTGTAATAAATCCACTCGGAATACTTCTAATCACTCATAAATTAATTAATTTTTTATTGATTATTTTCGCATATCGGGAAGTTCATGTAACTTGCCTGAAGGAAAAATACCAATGTAAAATATTTAAATTATTGTTTACATATCTTTTCTAGAAACTATAATTAAATATTTAGATATCACATACAAATTATTATTCTATTCACAAGGTAATGAAATTAGTGCAGAATCAATAAAAAATATATATTGACATTACAAATTGGTTGAATTTTTTAACGAAGAACGATATTTGTATACTACCATTATTCTGATTTTTTTTATCTTATAATATTTTAGGGGCAGAATGCAAAGAAAAATGGCGCAATATCCGAAGCGTTTTTGGCCGGACCTTGAAAACTGATAGACGTAAACCTTATTACTTAAATGCTTTCATGCAATTTCTTGTGCCCTTTATAAAGGTGTATGGAACTTCAAATACTAAGGACCATAACGCATCACAAAATGAGGCTTTAGATTCAATGCACGATACCGCTGATTGGGACTTTGAAATAAAAGAACAATGTATGAAATCAGATCCGGAAGATGATATAGAAGAGGTAGTGATAGTGGTGGAAAATAAAACAAATTTGCATCATTCATTTCAAAATGACCAAAGAGACTTATCGACACCAGCGCAGAATAGAACAGATTCGCCATCATCATCGTTTTTAGATCATCTACCATATTTACCTGGTACTGAACCAAATAAACCTAGTGTTGAAGGTGATACTGATGATAGGCCAAGCAATAGTAAAATTAGGAAAATTGAAGATTTAGAAAATAATCCTAAAAAGATGTTTTTACTAAGTTTGCTTCCAGATCTTAATTCAATGACCGATAGCCAAATGAGGAAGTTCAAGTTTAAGGTTTTAGAATTAGTTGATAATATCTTGACCAACAATTAGGAATAATAAATTATTTTTATTAGTTAAATTTAATAGTGTGCATTCCAAAGCTGTATCTGCTACCTGTAATATATCACTATTATACAAAACAATGTTTTATTTATTGTGTTTTGAGCAGTAGATAACACTGCTCGACACTATTTTTTTTTTCTGAGATGGTATGATGATTTTTAAGTAAATCGAGAACGCTGATTCCGAAAGCAGTAACAGAAATCTGCTAGCAGCTCTAGTTTTTGCGATATGCCAATGTGCTAGTTTTAACTCAAATTACATTAAAAAATACTACATATTTTATTTCATGCCTTCAAAAGCTTTTTTTATAAAATTTTCGAGCATGGAAGAAGCTCCGACAATTGCCAGCCATCATGTGTAAGCCCCATCTTTCTTGATATCGCTCCTCCAAAGTCTTGATGTCTTGGTGGATACTATCGCTCTGCTGTTCGCTAATATCTCCAAGATAGTCCAAAAACCATTCTAAATGAGAATGCGGGTATTGAAGTCAAATCAATTACATCAAAGATATAAGTGTTTAATTCTTCCTGTATTTTTTTAAACTTTGATTTCCACATCCATCTAGGTCGTTCATCATTAGCATGGATAGGAGTCGTGTAGTTGATCGTAAGACCTCAATACCATGCATTGGGGTTGTAGTTTATGACCATTAGCTTCTATTTCCTGAATTTATTTTATTGATATTTACCATACAGAAGAAACAATCGTCGTGGTGTTTTTCAAGTTGTTTCTGAATAACGGGGTATTGAAATTTTAGCATTTCTTTTTTGTTCTAGATAATAATGTAAACATACTATGCATCTTTTTTACATAGTACGAAGAAGCCATGTTTTATCGTGATTGCGCAATTCAATTTTAAATTGGTTGAGATATAATGCCTTTACGCAGTTTGACATAGGTTTTTGTTATTTGTCGAAAAAATATTAACCTCATATGTAACAAAAACTATCTGGATTATGAAGACAAGGTCTCACAGTCGAAGCCATACCAAAAACAGCAGATAAAACTCTTAGTTATTTGTTAAACTGCGATAATCATAGCCAAAATGACTAATTGGGGTAGTTCCCTCAAACTCAAAAACTAAAGCTGTTACGGAAAAATGAAATATTAAATTAATAAAGTATATTTGGAATCAGCGTGTAATTCTATGTAGATACAAAAGTATGAGGAAAAAAATGAAAGTGCCATTTTCGTTGCGCAGTGTCTAAGAAAAATCTAAGAAGAATCCACATAATTGGTGATTTGTGGATGTGGATGATGAAGTTAAAAAGTTAGAACTATAAAAAATATCATATAATGTGATGAATGAACTACAGAGATCAATAATTAAATACAGATAAATAATTTAAATTATTTTAAATCTTTGATATCACCAAAGTGGTCGTGGTCTATCATTGCCTTTTAGTCGCCGTTTAGCTAAATTTGTTATTCTAATGAAATTGCAGAAAATACTGCAGTATAATAAAATAAATTAAATTGTTAATATAAATGTGCTAAATCGTTATCTTTCCAAACGATTCAGTCTCAATGCCATAAATGAATAAATAAATTTACTTATTGCACATTATTGTACAAGGTTGCCAATTGGAAGAACAAACCGAGCATCGATAAAAGTTTATGTGCAAGTAAATGTTTGTTTTATATTTATCGCAATAACAAATTTGCACAAACAAAATGAACGTAAAGAGGCAAAACCTTCACTGTTTTATAATAAAATTTATACACAATCTTTTCGAAAGAATATAAATAAATACTGTAAATAAATTAAATTGGGCAACGAACGTATTCTACAAACAACTTCTGTATATGTAGTATAAGTAATTTGTTCATTTAAAAAAAAAGTCTTTTTGGTAATTTTGTTTTTTTTTTTCAAAATTTTTAAACTTTTTTAAAAGTTCGAATTTTGTTGGAATGCTTGACAAAATGAGGGTGTTTTTAAAATTTTTTGAGAAATTGGATATTTTCAAAAATAATCGATTTTTTCTGAAAATTTCGAAATATTCTAATTTTTTTTAAAGAAATCGATTTTTTTTTTAAATTTGATATTTATTAAAGTTATGAAAAAGTTTGGAAATTTGATTTTTTTAGAAAATTTTGATTTTTTTGAATATTTTTGAAATCAGGAAATATTTCATAAAAGCATTTTTTTACACCGTCTACACAAGCAAAATGTTTTCTGAATTAATCTAATCGGGTAATCCGTTCTCTCAAAAACTGCATCACCATTTTTACACCATTTGCGCTCGATACCTCCGAAACGGATAGACGTGCCTTTTGCAACGCATATCGATCCAGTACGAACCGAATGTTTTTTTAATCATTCAAATCGGTTTTTCTATACTGTCGAAAATGTCGAGGACAGTTATTTGAACCATCTAAGTATATATTAAAATTAAAAATCTTGGTACGGAATCCAAAAAAAAAATTGACACAATGTGTACACATTATTAAAGTCTCTATAAAATATCTGATAATTTGATATGCGTATGTCTAATGAATACTTTTAACCGCCAAATCGCGGTTTCTGCGTTTTGTTTCACTGGTCGTGCCTTTCGAAAAATTTAAACAATTTTTACTTTAGTCGACATGAATTTTTTGAATTATTCAAATCGGGCGCTCCATTCTCTCAAAACCTAATTCACAAATTACATTTTTGGCATTTTTTGTCCCGTATCTTAGGAACGGCTAGACCTGCCTATGTCGAAAACTAATCAGCACGTCTCCTTATCAATACTAATCGAATGTTTTTTGAATTATTCAAATCGGTTGTTTTGTGTTTTCGAAATCGTCGAAAAAAATTTGTATCCACACACACACATTACACATACACACACACATACATCCATTTTTTCTAAGGTATGCAAGTGTTCAAACTTTGAAACGTAAAGATATATAAAAATTTCCATTTTCGATTTTTTGCGATTACTATCCCCTACGGCAAGTTAATAAAATCGTGAAAATGTTTGTTTTTTTGAGAAAATATTTTGAAAAAATTAGAAAAATTGAAAATTTGATTTTTTTAGAAATCTTGAAAACTTTCTCAAAAACTAATAATTACTACACATCGTCAAGACAAGTAAAAGGCTTTTGAATCTTTCTAATTCGATGATTGGTTGGTTCTCTCAAAATCAGCACGACCATTTTTTTAAACCTTTGGCGCTCCGTACCTAAGAAACAGCTAGACCTGCCTATTACAAAATCTAACCAATATGTCTCGCGGTCAGTATGAAACTAATATTTTTTTAATCATTCAAGTCGACCGATCTACGTGGACAACATTTGTTTGAACCATATAAGTGAACTTTAAAAATTAGAAATCTCGGTACGGAATCCAAAAATAATGGACATAAAATGTGTATTCATTATTAAAATCTTTATAAAATATCTGACTATTTGATTTGATTATATCCAAAGATCATTTGGTGTTACTCTTGTGACACAAATCGGTTCCAAATTTTGTACGAATCTCCCGCCAGGAGCAAGTTGGCAAACGCCATCAAAATCATCTACCCGTTATGATTTTAGCGTCGTCGTAAATTTTGCCAAAGTTCGCAGTAGTTTAGGTGCGCTGACAGATTTATTTATTCGGCAGTGTCTCGGTACAATTTATAGAGGAAGGTCAGTACGAAGCTCTAGCAGTTGTGTTGAGCTGAAACAATGTAACACGGGCCATAAGTTATTGCTAGAGTAAATATCAGAGAAAGAGTTGGTGAGAATATGCAGAATGGGAGAGGAAAGGGTTGTCGTATTGTTTTATGGTTTGTTTGCTCCAATCGCACCGAACCATATAAGTATTCGATGGAAATTGCGGAATAGAAGTCGATAGTTGGCGGACAGATCGACTTCGGTTTGTTTCATAAACTCTTGTCTTGAATTGTTACCTCATTCATCTGTTTTGAACTAAAAAACTCTTTTAGAGAAGGGTGGTCCACAAAGATTCAATTTGACTTTGTACAATGGTATTGTGAAAACCAAACCGATTATATCACAGCAAATAACACATATCAAACAAACTGACTGCTCTCAGTAAAACTCCCATCTAACTCCTCATTGTAGAAATGTGTTCTTTTGCTGTTTTTCAAAAATTTGTCTTCTGGTTTGTTTTGCTTCATAGATGTGGTAAAATGGGACGGCCAAGGGGACAAACAGGTCTTATGTCCTATTTTTAATTTTAAAGGAAGTTTACAAAAAAATAGCTACATTGACTATGTTCAGTAAAACTCCTAGCAAAATTAAAATGTGTCACCAGGTCCTTTTCACCAGATAGGCAAGGTAAAATGGAATGGCCAGTGAGCACTGAGTCCAATATCTTATTTTTAATTTTAAAGGGACTTTGCAAAATAATAGCTACGTTATTCAACCAATGCAAAATGTAAATTTCATGTGTGAATTTTTCATAGAGATAACTCTGTAAATAACCTCGATCTGGAATTTCGTCAGAAATATGCATCAACAGCAGAGTTGGAAAAACTATTTAATATATTTCTTTTAAAATTGCTTTTTAGGTTAATCTACTTTTTATTAGCTTTTGGGGTAATTTTTTTAGCTATTTTTTATCTTTTACACCTTGTTCAGTTTTACTCCTCGGTTTAGTTGGTCCTGTTTTTTCCACCCAGGTGTCAGCTTTTTTAGAGATTATATAACAAAAAGGTTGAATCGAACTTAAAATTAATAATACATCTTATAAATTAATTGAAATACGTGTGCTTAAAAATTATTTTAAGATCTTGTAAACTAAACAACAGTGCTCACAAGTCACAACCAATACAGTCATAGCATAAAATATTCTAAACAACTTTATTTTATAATACTTTTTTTATTGTAAATTTAAATAGCTCATAGTGACAGCTTCATACGTATGACAAATATTTTGGAAATCCAAAAAATATGCCACTTCTTCATGACGAATATATTCGTCAACCACAGTAAACTGATTAATAGCCGATAACATTCATTCCTAGTATCAAACTGCTACCTATAATATATTA